CAATTTGTACGAGAGAGAAGCGCGACAAGTGTGTATCGACACGTTAGAAAGAGATAGAAGCCGGCTAAAGAGCGATGGCCTAGCAACGGCGACGCAGAAGCTCGTGCAAGCTTACTCGTTGCCAAAATGTTAAACCAGAAAATGTTTGAACCGGCTTCTACAATAGGTTAGGTTACTGCCAAGCCCAAGGAGGCCTAGTCAAAGCAGGACGACACTCCACAATGAGCGCTAGTTGGGTGCTGACCAAAATCGCTCGTCTATGATCATGGAGGTGGAAACCTTGCCTTGGAATGTACAACATCCGTACAGAGTAAACTAACACATGTTTTCAACATGCAGCTTAATTCAAGGAACTGGTGTAACATAATGGCATCGAGGCGCATATGTGTCTATATACAGTTCTCTCGAACATATGAACTCAAGCCGTCAGACTAATTTTTTTTTTGGATTAATGAAACATGAAACGAGGACCAGCGGCAGTTCTGTTCACTAAGCACAATGACACTTATGGTCAAATATCATGTCAAGGTGTCGTGAGATCCGAGCATATCAACGACATCCCATCCTAACACTTTTGACACAGTGTTGCTTGATGTACGATATTTATACAATTTTTGTACGATAACCAAAAGAGGAGAGAGACTATTGTGGGAGATGCAGACGTTCAGGAGACTCTGTCATGTCATAAAGTGCTACAGCCTCTTTATAATCCTTGTAGTTGGCACCGTTGTATCAAGTATGAAAGGCCAACAAATTGAAGGGATAGAACTGAGCAAACTAATGAAAAGTGACTAGCTTATTCACAAAGGATTATGAATTACATTGGTGTTTTCTGTATTGTTTCAGAATTATCAAGAAGCGGTACAATGAAGTGAGACACTTGTGTTTTACAACACTCAACATAAATTTGAAATAAATCTATCTATATTTTCATGTAATACAATTTCTATACCATCGTCAACAGCATATGCATATTTTTTGAAACTAAATAAATTTGGTGCTTCATAATTGGTTGGTTGGATTTTATTATGCTGAACCTTTTCCTCAGTAAAATTGCTGAAAGAGATATTACCCTTATTGGGGATATTCTTTTTAATATATGATCATGAAATGTTCCTTCAGTATCGGAAATATCATTTTCAGCAGATTTCAAATTATGAACAAACGAAATCCCCGGCGGCCCGGCATATTCCTAGCATTCCTTATTCCAGGCGCATTCTCGGCATTCTTTTGATAGTTCGTCCAGATCTCCAGGCAAGTAGGCCGCGCAACCATCTGACAAAACGTCAACGGTGTTGCGATTGTTTAACGTGCAACTCCCACTTCTTCAGTATTATGTGTTTTGTGGCCATACTCCACATTAATCAAATTCAAGTGGATAACCAAATGAAAATGGTATTTACCATTTTGGATTGGTATTTACCGATCCGTTCAAGCAAGTATGGTTAGCAGTTTGGTTGTAAGATCCGTGACGTCATGAATCAGCTGTTATATGTTATAGTTATCACGGTAAAATTGTGGTATTTACCCAACTCAGGAGTCGTTTTATATTTCTGGTTATTATTTGAAATGTGACAAGTTAGAATTTTGCCGGGTATTGGATATTTTTATTGCACTTCAGCTTCATTTTTGGGAAACTTGATACAGGCTGACTTCAGTTTTAGCATAAAGTAGAGCACCTTATCAGTTATAATCATTACTGTTGTTGGGGACACTTTAAATCTAGTTCCTATGCTTAACAAAGTATCCTGTGTAGCCATATACCACAAGAATATTAAAATATGGCCATATAAACTCACTGGATGATGTCCACCTGTATGCGCGGTTTTGTTAATATCTTTTTTCGTTCTTTCCTATCATTTCTGCTAAATCAATAAATATTTTCTTTGACATGCGGAAAGTTTAGAGAATTGAAAGTTATCATAGCTACAAAGCCATGGTTCCATCATTAATTTTTTTTTCTGGAAAAAACATTTCTCCCATTAATATTATGAAAGGTTGCTTTTTTAAACTTTCCATACACCGTTTTACACGAAAAAGCACCGATTATTAAGTGATAATAAAAATAATCAGAATTATATACGGGCTTTTCTAAAATAAACAATAATAATATAATAATAATAAACAAAACCGCGATTAAAACCAACGCGTTCAAGCGATTCGAGCAACTGACGTCATCGACCCGTGTGTCATCTTGAACCATATTATAACCGCAGTACATAACACAGAAATTTTGGTTATTCGCTTGGATTTAATTATTATCTGTTATCTTTCGTTGTTCGTCCAGTGGCTGTGGCTTTAGTCGTATTTTGGTTTGTTTAATTACAAGAGAACGTTTGGTAGTTTCTATGTTGGAAGAGAAAAACATAGATAAATAACGACTACGCCATTCCAATGACGAAATGTTAAAATTAAGATTAATTTACTTCGTAAATTTGGAATGTCTTCTGCATATGTAACAAGAACAGTATCTATATATTGTCAGCTAGCGATTCTACTTGCCTTTAAAGTGAATGTGCTTACTACAAAAAAGACACAAATTGAGGAATCGAATCCATGCTGTTTTTAATGTGCTGATACTGTTGTCAATATGACAACTGTGCATGTGAAAATTTTGTTAACTGTCACAAATTGGGTTTTCAAATATTCAAGTTTTTACCAATAATATAACATTTGTCCGACTGCTGGTAGTGTCCGGGTTACTGGCACATTCACCCTATATATCGTACGCCAATGATATGTATTGGCTAAAATTTATATTTGACACTGATCTCTTTTCTATCTGTCTAGAAATACACAAACATCTTCTGGAATGCATCATCAGACTAATAAAAGTTTAATGGAAAATTCTAATTTTACAACTGTGTGTACTGTACAAAGTAAACTTTGTCGTTTTATGTGTTTTAAAAATACAACTGAAATTCTATCTGGCACTGATTCACCGAAAAGGTGCCCAAATTCTTACGTTTCACGCTAAACTTGAGCAAAAATTCAAAGACAATAATAGGCCTGTTCTGACTATTTTGTCTTTTGATGATTTTCGAAAAACTGCTTCGTTTCGAAGATGCAGGGCAAACATAATCCTAGAAAACGTTTTTACTAGCACAAAGTGCTCGAATTAGAAATTGGAAATCAATATGACTCCAATCTCATCATAAATATTGGATATCGTTGAAAACAGTTGACTTGACTTATGGCCTGCTCTATCTCCGGATCCAAGACCTGTATATTATTCGCTATAAGGCCTTCTAAAGTTATTGCTGCTCGGTGGAAAATATGAGAAAACGAATGATGCTGAACGTGCCTCAATAAAAAATGACCTTTACGTATTTGAAAGTATTTTACAGCCAATGAGGGTAAAAATGGAGTCTCGCATTCTAGCTGGAAGAAGTTACTTTTTATTTGGACGAGTACCGTCAGGTACTTGAAGAATCACTTAATGTTATCGTTCACCTCGGACTTTCAACATTTCTCGTCTTCGGTTCTGATTTGAGTGTGTGAGTTCTTTTCAGAGTACCTACTACCATCTATATCATAAGTTGAAAAAGCTCATTTGACCACAAAGCGATTCAGTTTCGACGATGAACTGAATGATGTTTAGAGCTTCCTGAAAAGCCAAGCGACAAGCTGATATGGGCATAGAAAAACTGCCTCAGTCTCTACAAAAATTCACCAACCTGAATGGATATTGAGTAAGAAAATATATCAACATTTGAGCTCTATAATGATGTATCAATTAACGTAAATAAATGATTATGTATGTTTAAAAAAATTGGATATTGGACAATACCAAAAAACAATACCGTTCTCGCCTATAGGCGTGGAAAGTAAAATGTGCAAATAGAGTAGAGTGTATTATGAAAACTTACTTCGACAAACTTAGGTCCCAAATTTCTTTCTTCTGCTGTAGTTCCTTTTCCAATCCAAACAAACACTTCATCATCCATATCCAATACCATCACGTCATCTTCCCAAAGATCATGTTGAGCAAAATCTGTAATTTCCTCCATGATAAGTTTGTGAGTTTTCCCTCGGATTTGGCAGTGAAACAGGCGTGTTTTTTCGCTAACTGACCTCAACAGTCTTGGCCGCGCCTCTCCATGTCCCTGCCAGTTTCTGAAATAATCAAAGCGTTATATAGATAGGGCGAAAACCTCGCTTTCGTGGAAGAAACTTTTCAGCCCAATCGCCTTTGCTGGGTGACCCCTAACAAAAATTAAGAAATTGTCAGGCTGAAGCCCAATGTAAATTTGTTTGGGCAGTTTTGTTAAACACATTTGAGGAAAAAATTATGCTCCAGACACATTTTTATAGGTTTTTCTTGATCATTCTGAACGAAAAAGGTCGATAGTAATGTTTCTCTAAAGTTGACCGTTTCCCAGTTATAATGCCTAAAAAATGACGTCAAGTACATTGGCTCTATACTTCCTACGCCTTCGTTGGAAGTTTCAAAAAAATGCGATGGGTCAAATCGTTTCAAAAGGCGAAATCGAATCGTGATTATATAGGTTCACTTAGGTACAATGAATCTTCGACCTCTGTATATCAAACTATATAAAACCTATCATATTTCTGTTTCCATAGCAGACGTAGGAAAAATATGTGTGACTTCTTAAGTCTGACAGGTCCATACTATCACTTAGATCAGCAGCTTCTTAATAATAGAAGGTCTTTCAATGACAAACAATATGCAAAAATTTACAACAATTTACCTCATACAGCTTCTAACCTACAATTTTCTTCCCCTCGAAACAAAGTTTGGAAATAAGCAGGAATCTCTGAAACGTTGTAGCACCATGTTCCAGAGATTTTATTTCCGCGATCTCTGAATCAATTTTCAAAAGCTACGAACGATAAAGTGGTACGTACTCCTAATATCCAAATATAGCTGAAATATATAAATATTTATCCTGTGTGTCCGAGACGACACCACCGCAGACCAGTTCGAGTTTGTTACCCATTGCACAGCCGGCAGTCTTTGAATTAGGAATAAAAGTATTTTACCTGAAATACTGTGTGAAAGCAGCTGGTTCAGCATTCTGAATGATCCTTTCAACGTGGGTCCATTTCGGATAGTTCTTATTCTTAAGATACTCATCGGCTTTTTTCATAGACTCCCTTTTCTCACTATCATCGCATTGCTTGCCAATCCAAACGTAAATGTTCGCATCTCCGGTGTCCAAAATAAAGCAATCTTGAGGATCCAACTGGTTGGCGTCTAAGGGTTTCCGAGAGACTGGCGTTATCTGGACAGAACCGGTTTTGTCTGATACTCTGTAAAGTCCAACTTGTCGTTCTTCGGTTGACTCGAATTGCTGATCATCAGCACCCACACTGTCTGCTGGCACGCTGCCCTTAGAACCCTCTCCTAGGGCTTGGAAGAATTCTTCAAAGTCACTTTCAGGGCTGAATTCATCTGGAAAGAACTCATGCACTGTACCAAGTCCATTTCACTTTGAAGTTTTCTATGAGGAAATTTTCAAAAACAGATTTAGCAATATCCCATGCGGGATAGCTAAAATCTATCTAAAAAGTCCACGAAACTCATAAATGTTTTGTAGAATCTCGCAAATCGCAAACGTTCATTAGAGACCAATCTATTATAAATAGTAGTATGTTCATCAGACTAAGAAATATGTCAATTCTGACTGCAGCTAACTGCAACTTTGGCAATTATGCGGCATTAAACAATAATACGAAAACTCTACGAAGGTTGTTTCAAAAATAAGGTTCTCAAGGCTGTAACTTTGCCGCGCGTGATGCTACGGGAAATCTGGTAACACCGTCGTGTTTGTCGGCTTTCCCACCACCGATACCAATAAGAAGCGCCTATTGGCGACGCTCAGTACCGGCCTGAAAGCCATGCGCAATGGAGCCAGGTGAGAAATTCGAGCGTTCATCCGATGTTTGCAAGCAAAAATATTACCACCCAGAGAAATTCATCACCAGTTGAGTGAAGTATATGGGAAACATCGAATCACGATCCGGGAACAGGCATTTGAAATTATTGAGGCTTGTGAAAAAACTGAGTCGGGCAGTCCAAAATCGTCGTAGGGGAAAACTCTGCAAAGCGTAAGACTGCACCACGACAATGCGCGTCCTCATGTCTCACAATAAAGGAAGTCGTTGCCATCCCCCTTAAAGCCCTAAGGGGCGTTTCCGAAATTGAACGAGCACCTGGGCGGTCAACGGTTTGAGACTGACTAGGAGTTGCAAGAAGTAGTTACCAAGTTTCCAAGAGGGCTGGCGGCAGACTTCCTTGAGGCAAGAGTGATAAAGTGGATTCCATGTATAAAAAATTCATCAACGGTTCCAATGGTAAATTCGTTTTTTCAAATAAAAAATTGCTTGTGCCTTAAAAAAATGCAGGAACCTTATTTTTGAGACAACCCTCATACGCTGAAAACATATAAAACAGTAATTTGTAGTTTATTTGTTATAAGCGATCTTTAAAATATTTGAAACTCAATTTTGAGGTCTATCAAAACATTTTTATGTAAACGTAGTCGCCATATTAGAATCGCTATTTCGATTTTTGAACAGTCGATATCAAATCCGTTATTAGCGACCCTGAAAATATTTGAAACTTAAATTTGACTTCAGTCAAAACAAGTTATCCGAATAACTCTTTCAGATTTGCCAAAGATACCAATTGAAACTAGAAGTATTTTCGGAAACAGGAAACTTCTCAATTATCTCTTGGATTGGTTCCATTGTCGGAGTCAACCTACTTGACGTTCGAAATATCCTCAAATCTTCTATACTTACCAACAATAGTAACTGTGGCCTTTCCAGCATGATCTTGATCTCTGATCTGATTGGCAGCATTTATTGCCTTCAGTTTTTCAACACGTCTAGCTTTCTTGCCTACATACACATAGATCTTTCTGCCAACATCTAAGATAAAGCAATCTCCATCATTCATAGATGCAATACTTGGCACCACTTGCTTTACACGAATATTCCTTGATCCTAGATCGAATATCGAAGGTGAGTTACAAAATGGGTCTTCCAATAGAGCCGGGTCGGAGTTGAAATGGAATAAATCAATTGTGTGTCAGGTACTAAAGAAAATTATTTTTTTCGCTACTAACCAGGGAAATCACCATTATTTACCTAAATATTCAGTTTTCTTCCCTAGGTAAATAATCATAACAAAAATCACTTAGGTAAATAACCGTGTCATTTAAAATCCTGCTAACTTCATTATGTCAGTTTGACAAATAAACTTTATATTCCGAAATACTCGTATGTTTTTGAACACTAGTGAAAATTAACTAATATTAGGCATACCTTGTCGTGTATTTACACTTCTTGGGTATTTCAATAATAAGGAAAGTATAGAAAAGCCGCATTTATTGCTAGTAGCGTACTCTCCTTTGAAACTAAAATAGATCAGTCCGCAGAACGTCAGTTCGACACCAGGCTACTAGATGCTCCAAAATATTTTATACTGAATGATAATATACGATGAAAAAAATTCAAATGTTAAAATCAAATGTAGTGACATACAGGGTGTTCCTTAATGACGGGCGAATGATTCAGGACATGATTCCTTAGATGATTTTGTAAAGAATAGTTCATATGCACATATGTGCGCGATGACTGATTTTTTTACTACAGGATGTAGAATTTTTAAGAAAAAAAATCGTTTTTATTTAAGATCTTTGAGAGCACTTACAGATATTTTTACTTTTCAGACATTAAATTTCTTATAACTCGGAAAATGTTGATATTTCCGAAGTGAAGAAAAGCTTCCTGAAGGAAGAAGACAATTTCTTGGAACTTCCTTAACAAACTTGCAAATTTCCACCGTGTTACCGAACGGTAATCTATTAACTCACGTTAACAGCATAAAACAGACGTGATTTTGAAAGAAAAATCGAGGCCACGAATGGGAGGTTTTCGCTCTTTCAAATTTCTTTATAAAATCTCAAGCTTTTTTCCATTGCAACGTTGATCGGTCCTTATTGGAAAATCTTTTATATACGTCCGAAAGATTACCGAACATAGTGTAGGGCAATCTTACTTCAAAATGTTGCTTAGTAGGCATACCTTTAACTTGGAACAGTTTTTTCTCGAACGCGTTATTATCAACATGGTGGAAACCAGAACTAACACCACCTGGCAGATATCTGACGCCTCCTTTGAAATAAGAAAGGAAAAGTTGGGATTCGTGATCCTGCACTTCTCTGTGCTGTATTGGCACTCCATCCAACATGTCATCTAGCTGAACAGCTAAAATTGCTGCGGCCCCAGCTTCATCCTTGATACAAACACAAAATTACTACAAAACTCAAGCACCACAGTGGGTCTAAATTAGAGATACTATACTAGGAATAGTTATTTTACCAAATACTGAATATCCGGCTAAGCTCTTGGCCGAAGCGCCGAATATTTGGTGCCGATTTCCGATAGTACTTACATACGAGGGTAAGGTGAAAAGTTCTTGGCCTAACAATGAAAGACCGCGATTTAAAGTTAAAAAATGATTCTATTCTTCTACATATGTATATTTCCCTTGGACTTCAAGACACTTGGTCCAACGTTTCTGCAACATTAGGAGTCCTTCTCAGAAGTGACAGTCTAAAAGGCTGTTGAAATATTCATCTACGGCCCTCTCAACCCCTTCATCAGACCCGATACGCTTCCCAGAAAGATATTTCTTCAAGTTTGGAAACAATGAAATTTTTTTTTATACCGAAGCAGTTCGCAGGCAAATTCCGGGACACCGCGGCTGCTACGAGGATCCCAAAGAAATTTTGTTAATCCAATTTTGAACTGCCTAAGGTTAGTAGAACTGGGAGAAGCTTCCTCTTGCAGATTGTTCCACAATCGCGACACCCTAGGGACAAAGGAGTGGTCGTATCGGCCAGTTCTGGGTGTAAAAAGTTCGACACGGTTAGGATGGGAGGTCGAAGTCACGCGGGTCTGTCTGGCAGGCACATCGCGCAACGGTATCATGGAGGAGAGCTCTGAGGAGCAAAGTCCGTTGGTGTAGCGGTAAAAGAGAGCTAGATAGCGGACGTTCCGCCGGTGCGACTGGGTCCCGAGACTGTCTGTTAAAGAGGAGTAATCGATCAGTCGGACAGCCCTCCTCTGAACAGCATCAAGCTTAAATAATGTGGTCGAGGCGGCAGCACCCCAAACGTGTGACCAATACCCGAGGCTAGGTCTTACATAGGCCTTGTATACGTATAAAGTGAGGAGGTCATGCGGAGAAAAGTACTTTTTAGCCCTAAACAAATAGTCTAGCTTTTTCCCAGCAGCTCCGCTATTGGCGAGATGTGTTTGTGCCAGAACAAGTCGTCGGTGATCTGGACTCCGACCAGCCGAAATGAACGACTCTTTGGCAGAACTAGGCCATCCATCAAAACCGTATATGCGCTAGGACGCTTTTTGTTCATCAAGGTACAGTATTGTGTTGTGGAAGCATTAAACTGTTCAAGATTGTTGCTTCCCGAAGCAGTGATAACCTCCAGGTCTCTCGCGAGAGAGGAAGTTGCTGCTAGTGTACTTTTTTCCAGCTCACCGGCAGAGATCGGCTTGTTGCTCTGAATTCTTGCATGTAGAGTGTCGTCATCAGCAGAAGTGCTTGATCGTACAGGAAAGGAGGCGGTTGATATGTAAGAGGAACAGTGTCGGAGCCAAGACCACAGTTTTCTCATTTCCAACACCCTTTGTGTGCGTTTTTCTGATGGAAATCGATATTTTCTTCTTCTTTTCACCAATGGTGGCATCCAGTTGGTCAAGGTCTGATTAATATTCTCCCGTAAAGGTTCTGTAGTTTCCAAGGTAATCAATTAAGAGGATCCCTTGACACATGATCAAATTTACGTAAGCCAGAGATTAAACGTATACAATTGAATAACTTGGTTTTTGGTGAAACTGTCTAAAGATGTGTAGAATACGATATTACAATAATTTAGTATAAACGTGACCAATGCTTCATATAGTTTTATATGCAACTTAAAATTTGGTAAATACCTGTTTGCTATAAGGGTAGTTATTCCTTATAATATGATTCGAAATTATTGAATGAAAAATAATGTCGTGCCAGACATTTTATAGAATAGGAGAAGACAAAAGTAATGATACCTGTGACGTCTCGCTGCCCAACCAGAAATGGATGTCATAAGATTTCTGTCCGTTCTTATTGACTTTTGTCTGAAAAATAAAATTTGAACTTTGAAGATGTTTTATTAAAAGATGTGCCTTAAATATTTTCTGTATTATCGGCTTGGCAAACAATAACTTTTACTCTTCTCAGAAAAGACGAAAAAAATGTTGGACGCTACTAGAAGTTTCAAGATTCCATGAACGGAAGTATTGAATATGTATTAGATTTATTGTCAAAAATTGCTAAACTTACAAACACCTACATTCAAAACTATGTATGAGTCTCCAGTGTAGAATTTTCCATACTGGTCCTTGGGATACCGCACAGGTTTGAAATCCTGAAAAGAAATGAGACATTATTCAAAGTGGCATAACGTGTGTGTTTTCCTAAATTGTGTAATTCTTATGCAAGCTAAACACGAATTCTGGGAAACTCTCATGTCTCATAATCGATAAATATACATAAATAGATATTTTATCTGAATGTTTTGCACGGTGTTGCGACACTGGGTTTGATAAGTCCTTAGCAATCATAAGCTTCAATTAGTGCAATTCATGATATTAGTTATTTTATTACGTCGGGGTAAAATAAAAGAACTGAGCGTTCACTTCCCATGCCAACTGGAGAGTAAGTTTTGTAATCGTGAAAAATTTCGAACGTGAGATATTAATAATAATAAACCGTCTTTGTTGATTTCATTAACAAAGAAATTACGATATAATATAATACCAGTCTAGCCAGTAGCTATTCTCGCAATAAATTAAGCTAGAATTAAACCAAAGAATCAATAAAGTAGGCCAACAAAAAATATATGGTAAATGAAGTTTTCCAAAAAGAGACGAGCAACGCAGGCTTTCGCAAAGAAACGAGCATGTGGTTATTATCCTTTTAAATATTTGATACCATACAGAAATTACACCGACAAAACACTAAATTTTATATTTAAAAGAAACCTAATCACTCTTGACATCTACCTATAACTATCTATAAATAATAATGAATAACAAAAAGATGAATCTAAAAAGTACTATATTTGATCCTACTGCATAAAAGCTAATAACGTTCCAATTTGAATTTGAACGTGTTCATGTTTAGAAGCTTGAATGCTTGTGGAAGGTGATTATACGTGGGCGTTCCGATGAGTATTTAGCCTCACCGTCCGATGGCGCCACTAGAGCAAGAGAAATTTACTATCGTGTAGTGTATAGCACATTCTCGTGGATTGCTACTATCAAAATTCCAGCCGAATCGGACTAGTAGTTTTGTTTTGACCGCTTGTGGAAGCGGGCGTTTACCGCGGATTGTAGAAAAAAATGGAAAAAAGAGCAATATCGGTTACTGTTTTTGGAAGGGAAATCGCACAGTCGATTTTTTATGAGCAACGCCCAGGTGCCCCGAAAACGGTTACTACGGAGGATAATGTGCCAAAAATCCACGAACTCGTATTGGCAGACCGCCGATTGAAGGTGCACGAGATAGCTGAGACCGCGTGGGTAATACGTTGCATGAAATATTGGTCATGGGAAAGCTGGCTGAGCTATAAGTGTATTGCGTTTGCTCACTCCTGATAACAAGAGCAACCGTGAGACCACTTCAGAGCCGTGTTCGACGCCGTTTAAGCTCAACCCGAAGGAGTTTCTGCGTCGTTTCGTGACCGCCGACGAAACATGGATCCACTGGTACACACCAGAAATCAAGGTCGAACCACTGGACTTCGCTCGGCGAACGTGCTCTGAAGTAGGCGAAGACTGTCCTGTCGGCCGGCAAAGCGATGGCCACCGTTTTCTGGGATTCACAAGGTGTGATCTACATCGACTACATGGAGAAGGGCAAAACGCCCACAGAGAAATTTCAGAAAACGGCCCCATTTGGCGAAGAAAAATTGCTCTTCCACCAGAACAACACACCGGCTCACACCTCCGCCGTCGCCACAACCAAATTAGTCAAATTAGGCTACGAACTGCTGCCCGATCCACCGCATCTTCCGGATTTGGCCCCGTGCGACTTCTTTTTGTTTCCAAACTTGAAAAAGTCACTCGCCAGGAGAAATTTGAGTCGAATAAGGAGGTTATTGCCGCCACGGAGGCCTAGTTTGCAGAACTCCGGAAAACGTATTTTTCAGTCGGGTCAATGAAGTTGGAGCATCGCTGGGTCAAGCGTATCGAGCTAAAAGGATACTATGTTGAGAAATAAATCGTCAATTTTCCAAAATTTTGGTTTTTCTTTTGTAGGCTGAGTATCACATTATACAGTGTGTTCCAGATTCGCTTCTCTATACAGCTATCTCAACTCTTGTTATACGTACAGCAAATGTTAAATGGGGAAAGTTAGTGCTTTCCATAGCCGGCTTCAGATTTATGATCTGTCCACTGGTTTTGAAAATATAAGCGAAATACCGAAAATGGAAGAATTTGTTTTTTGCTAGTAAATCCAAAACGGTTAATTTTACAGCTGTCAAAATGTGACATTATTCGGACATTTTTTTAAGAAAAATACGATATCATGTATGCCATGTCTCAAGCGTCTTTAGTTTTCCAGCAACCCGCCTCAACTTTCATTTTTCTTAAGACCGCCATATTAGATTTTTTGATTTTTTTTTATACCGAAGCACCGCGCAGGCAGAAGCCTAAATGCCGGAACACCGCGGCTGCTATGATGATCTCAAAAAAAATTGACGATTTTTGAACTGCCTAAGGTTAGTAGAACCGGAAAAAGCTTCCTCTTGTAGATTGTTCCAGTTCTGGATGTACGAAGTTTGACACGGGTAGGATGGGACGTCAAAGTCAGGCGGGTCTGTCTGGCAGGCACATCGCGCGGCGGCATCACGGAAGAGAGCTCCGCGGAGTAAAGCCCGTTGGTGTAGCGGTAGAAAAGAGCTAGATCGCCGACGGCTGGAAAGAGTGTAATATTTCCAGTCTAGTGATGTCTCTCAACTGCATAAAAGATTGGACCGAAATATCATCACACGTTTTTTCTAATGAGGCGATGATTTATTTGTCAGAAAATAATATTAATGAGTAAGGCATAACAAACACATAAACGCCTTGAATTTGAAATTCCCAACTGTGAGTGTGTTAAAAAAACAAGTCAGAAAAACCGTCGTAAATTTATTTCACAGTTGAACAAACAAACATTTTACAAAATTGTAATGTTATGTAAAATCTAATTGTGTTAAGTGGGTAATAACTTACATATTTGCAAAATAACGTCCATTTGCATCCAGACATTTTTGACAACTAATGACTGTTTTTCGTACAACCTAGTATTTCTGTTAATGTTTCTAACTGTGCTCAAAATTGTTTGTCTCAGGATTTCTATGGTCGCGGGAGGATCAAATTCATAGACATCATTATTTGTGTGAGCCCAGAGGTAGAAATACCAGGGTGAAAGGTCAGAGGATGTAGGAGGCCAAGATATTGATGGCCCCACGCCAAACGTTAGTAACAAAGCTGGTCTGTAGACGTCTCTCTGCCACTTCATGAGGATTTTCCACAGCCCAATGATGAGTATTGTGCTTATTAAAAACTCCACAATTCGTAAACCTACTCTCATCGGACCAAAAGACATGATTCACAAGATTTTCATTAGACTTCCTAGTATACCACTCACAGAAGCGCATTCGCCTTGGAAAATCAGTTCCCTTAAGTCCTTGAATTATTGTAGGTTTGTATGAATGGCACCTATTCTTATTTAACACTTTCTGCACTGTTGATTTTGACACACCAATTTCTCGTTCTATAGTTCTTACTGATGCAGTAGGGACTTCGTTGACAGCCTGTAAAATGTTTCTGTCGTGATTTTCATTTTCAATATTGTATCCGCTTCTAAGTTCATCAAATTAACTACTATTTTTCTAAATTGGGTTTTATTAGGCTGCCGCCGTTCGAGGTGCATCTCCAAGTACCTTGCTGGGGTAATATCGGCGTTTCTGGATGACTTCAAGTACAGCGCTAACACGTCAAACTTTTCTTCATCTGAGTAGTGAATACCGGCAATCTTCAACAGGTTTTGACAATTTTTTGTCAGACTTATGATTTTAATGAGAGAAAACGTACTACTTATTAAAACACAATAGTAATACTTTGAATTATTTAACGTCAAAGTGAGCCTCCTTAGATGAAAAAAATGCGTTACTTATTAATTTTATTTTCTGACAAATAAATCATGGCCTCCTTAGAAAAAAAAATAATATATAACATCACGTGTGATGATATTTCGATGATACTCCAATCTTTTATGCACTTGTGAGACATCACTAGGGTGGCAATTTTACGCTCTTTTCACAAATTGAAAAATTTAATATGGCGGCCACAAGAAAAAAAAAGTTGAGGCAGATTGCGGGAAAACAAAAAACGATTGAAACACGTCATACACGCTTTCTTATATGCCTTAAAAAATGTCCGATTAATGTCACATTTTGACAACTGTCGCTTTTTTGTCGATATTTTCAAAATCAATTGACGGCTCGCAAATCTGACGCCAGCTATGGAAAGCACTAACTTTCCCCATTTAACCTTTGCTGTAGGTATAACAGGAGCCGAGATCCTTGTATAGAGAAGCGAATCTGGGACACACTGTATATGAACGAGCATTGGGACAGGGCGGTCTTGTGCTAAGGAGCTGTGTAGTTCAATTTTAGAGGATTTGAATTGTTGACCAATTTATACGTAAAGTTGCACATGTGAAGGAGTCTCCTATTATTGTAATATGTTAAGCCATTTGATTTTGTGTGATATAGGGTCATACGTCCTGACTCCATATACCAGCCTACAGCAGCTATTTTGTATCGTTTTTTGGAGGACACATGATATGCATTTTATCACGAACAACTATGTCACTAATTCCCGTCGATTTGTCTGCCTGCCTGGCTTTCTGTCTGTCTAACACCGCGAATGTACATTTTTTTTATTTCAAAATTATTACCTCAACACCCTAAATGTTGGTTAGGGGGAATATACTTTCGTGTTATTTATAGACCTACCGTCTCAGTAATATTACCATGATTTTCTAATACACCCTTTATAGTTTAAGATGGAGATGTTTACGCGATACATTATAGTTGAGTAAATATACCCAGTTAACTTATGCCTTGAAATTTATACGAGGCAATCGGAAGTATAAAGTCAATTTATTTGATAGCATTTTTTAAAAGAAGTAGACTATTTTGGATCTCAAGACCTCTGATTGAATTAAATTCAAATCTCCATGTTCACTAAGGAATTAAGGAATATTTTCAAATAACCAATAATATCGATGAGACTGGCAATGTATCGTTCGATCTGGCACACTGTCCGTAGCCATTTCTTTGTGACACCAATTTCGAGCAACGGTGTACTA